ATAATKTTCATTTTAATTACTTTCCCCTCCCCCATGTGATTTATATTAATATATTCATTTTGTGAGTTTTTTGTTTTAATGTTAATATATTTGGACATTATAAGACTTAAGTTTAGTACTAGTATTTATTTTCAATTTCGTGATTTATTCACAAGAGTTGGTGGAAATTCTACTTTAAAATTTTTAACTAATAAAAAAATTATAAAAATTATATTTTTGGTTAAAATAGACCATTAGTCTATGTGATTTTGATTTTATAATACTTTAGTGATTATGGGATTATTTGTTACATTTAATCAATTTTCACTTACTATTAAAGTAAAAAAAAAACACTCATATGCATAAAAAGTGCAGGTTAATGAAGCTAACGTAGTGCTTGTAGAGTATTGAATCATTAACTTTAGGAATGGTAATAGATATCTTATCTATTTGAGCTATACTCGGATAATTAGCATGGATCTTGTACGATTCAAATCGAAAGTGATTCAATTATCAGCCTATTCATATGATTCGATTATAACAAGCTCTTTAATGTATATGACTCAATTTTTACATTTATTTTAACATATATAGAATAAATCATTATAAAAAAGTATAAGTTTCAAAATCTTCCGAGCTAAAACATCATTTTGATCCTTACATTTTAAGACTTGTTGTTTTATTTTAGCCTCCTTAGTTTCAATAAATTTTTAAAATAGTTTCTATTATCAGTGGGAAGTTAATTAAAAAAAAAAACACAATGCCAATATGGTTCCCAAAATTTAAAGGGATAGACTACTTTTTTTCCTTCTTCATTTTTTTAACATCAAATTAACTAATGGAACTAATTTTAATATCTATACATGTTTAAAGACTGAATTTGGATATATGAAAGTATATAGACTAAAATAGAATAATTCTTAAAATATCGAAACTAAATAATATCAATTTTTAATATAATCACTCTTCTTATATTGTTGCCATTATTGTTCAAAGGAAATGAAATAACTTTGCATAGTTGAAACCAATAATGAGACATATTCAAGAACAAGCAATAATAATAGTTGTAACAATTTGATGCAAAATAAAGCTGGTGTTGCATTATTCACCCAATTTTTTTGGTTAAATCATAAGTATGTATAATATATTTCAATAAATGAGGGTGAGGATTTGAGCTTTTGACTGCTAGTCGATCATATATGTGTTAACCAGTTGAGATATGCTCGAGGAGACATAAATTTTATTTATATGACGACATTTATTTTTCTAAGAAAAAGGTAGAATTAAATGCATTTAAATTTAGGGTAAAAAAATATGGCCAAAATTAATATATTTAATAATGTAAATGATCAATTTGAATATAATCTAATAAATAAAATATCTATTACCATTTGAAAGGTCGATAGTTTGATCTTCACCTTATCATTATAGTTGAACTAAAAAAAGATTATGACGGCTACTAGAACCTAAACCAGACATGGAAAAATGTTAATATTGTTGAACAAATTTTTGAACATCAAGAAACTAAACACACACACAAAGAGAGACCAAGCTAATTAAAGTAGACACAATCATTTAGTCCTAAATTGATGGGTCTATAAATAACATGTTTGGTAATTTCTTGTTTCTCGCTTTAAATTTTCTTTAGAAATCTAAGCATTTCGAACTTAACTATGTTTCTTGTTTCTCCATATTTTGGAACATTATCAAAATTGTATAGACGTTTTGGAAACAACAAAAACAAGTTTTTCTTTCGTTACCAAACGAGCTATATTTTAATCCTTAATATTTTTCATATTTTTTTCATTTCAATTTTAGTTCCTACGGTTTAAAAAGTTACAATTTAGTTTCTCACGTTTTAACACTTTTCAATTTAGTCTCTCACTTGTGATAAATGTTAAAATTAGCTAATGATAAACTTAAATAACATAATATATAGTTATTTGAAATAAAGTTTCTATTCCTCCTCAAATTAGTAAAAGTTTAGAGTTTTCTTCTCCTATGACATTTTTTCTCCTCTAAATTTCTACTAATTTATTAATTATTATGTCATATAAATTTGTCATCAACCAATTTTATCATTTTCCGACATCCAAAGTCTAAATTAAATAATGTTAAATAAAACCTTTAAACAGGAGGGAGTAAAAAACTATATTTAGCCTTTAAAAAATGACAAAAGCTCTTCTAAATGAATAAACTTACTTTTGTGCTAATAATTAAAATTTAATTCTTATTTTTTTTTTATACACATGGTTAAGTTTATTTTTAATCCAATAATGGTAATGTAGTGTACTTTTCCAAAGGTTTGATTATCTATTTTACCAATGAATCATGACCAACATATTACTAAATAATTCCATTGTTAATAAAGTTTATTTAATTAAATAAGTCCACTAAAGCTATCTTTTATTGTAGGTCCATGGACTTTATCAATCATGAATTTTTTAAGTGAATTCCAATCTTTTTATAATATTGAGATTGATTGGAGCTAGTAAAAGCATCAAATAAGCTATTAAAATCATAGGCTAAAAATAAAATGTCGTATTTTCAATGTCTTATTGTTTGTTTGTTAGAAATTTGGATACCCAATATTTTTAGACGAGCAATATTCTTAGATTTTGTTAGATATCTTTTAAATTTATCCTAATTCATCAGTTTAAGTTTTTTAAATATGTTGAGATGATATCAACTAATCTCGTATGTAATTTCAATATTATCTTTATATTTATACAAAAGTGATACTTTTATTATTATGCTATTAAAGTATTAGCTAACTCGATTTAATATATTGAATGAATTTTTAATTAATTCAGTATTCTATTGTAAATTACATATTAAATTATATCGATTTTATGTAAAGTGTAAACAAAATATTTTCATTTAGTTTTAAATTAATTGTATATCATTTTAACATGTCAATTATTATAATTTTTTTATTAGCATAGTTATACTTAAATTAGTATGTAAATTTAGGAATATTATACAATTTAAATGAAGTCTACTTTATTTTTGAAAAAAGAAATAAAGCCTACTTTATATATGAAATGTTCTATAAATTAAAATAGTGAAACATATATAGTCATTTATTATTGAATTAATACCGCGGTTTTTGAAACGTGAAATAAAAAGTAAGAAATAAAGGGAATTAATGAAAGATTATATCAAGTGAAGAGCAAAAATATCATAAAAGATGCATTTACGCAAATATTTTCGGGATGACTTAGTATCGTACCTTTAAAAAATAAGCACGAAAATCTATATACTAGTTCTATAAAATCTAAGATTATTAGAAAAGTAACGCCTCTTTGTAACATTTGGTAGCATTAACTAACTCTCGTATCTTACCTATAACTTTTGGTGGGAGTTGTATGAGATGAAGTGATTTTTCAATGAAAGAAAAATGATGTCAAAATCAAACTTTTTTGAAAAAAAAAATTAACCTGGTAAAATTGATCTGAATTGAATTAAGATTGACAAATTTTCAAAATTTGTAATAAAAACTAATAATTAAAATATTATTTTTATGCAAAATCTAGAGATCAAAATAAAATAATTAAAAAATTAACGGTCCATTAATAACAAAAATACCATTTAAACTACTTATTATATTACACTTCATTATGGCCACAAGCTTTTTTTTTTTTTTTTAATTAAGTGTGGAAGTCTACCTGGCAAAGTTAAAAGTTAGCTTTGCCTTGAATATTGATATTTCTCTTTTTTAATCAACAAATAAGTGTTTTGAGAATTATTAAATATTAATTGATAATATATTGTTATTTTTGCTTGCATTATTAACTATAATCATTCAAACAAAAATTGTCCATCACCTGTTTTCATAAATAGATAAAAGAAAGTTAAAAAAATTAAGGTGGCCAAATTTTGGCAAATTGAAAATTATTGTTTAATAGTGATATAAATTGGGGTATAAGTATTTCGACTTCCAACCTCATGAGAATGAGCAAACGACAATTACCTCTGTGAGCTATATTTATGTTGATATTTTGGTCGACGTGATTTTCGAAAAAAATTGGTTCGACATAATTATTATATCGTCAAGTGTTTAACAAATTAACGACATGTACTTATTGGACAAGCCGAACAATTGATGGTAAAATAAGAACCAATGACTAAAGTGGTAAGTATTTTAAAGTTGTGTGACTAAATTGAAATTAGGATCAAATTCTATTTTGGTAATTATACTTTTTTGGTCTATTTTTATACATACACTTTAAAATATACCTTATGAATTTTTAAAATGTGGCTATTTTAGTCGCTTCTACAAAATTCTAGTGAAAAACATCTCTAAAATTCTCCCACACAAAACTATGATAATATTTCATAAAATTTATTGAGTGTAATATTTATACTGAAATTGTGATCRAAAAAATAAAATTAAGAAAAAAAATTGAGAACCAAAGTATCACTTTTTAAAAATTAAAAATATATATAGACGAAGGCAGACAAAACCTAAAAATTTAAGGTCCAGAATCTTTTTCTTTTTTTGGTTTACTGTTCTCTTTTTTTTATTACTATTATTGTAAAATCAGACAGAAAGATGTTTATTTTTTATTCTCTAAAATTTTAAATTAAAAAAAGAAAAATCTTTTATATGAAAATTAATTTTCAAATTGAAATATAAAATTTGTATCTTACATTTATTACGAATTTATAATTAAAAAATTATAAAATAATGTTTTTATTTATCTTTTAAAAAATATTGAAAAAAATATAATTTAAAAAAGGGTAACATGAATAATTACCCAACAATAAAACACATACATTTTAAAAAAAAAAAGAACAAAACAAGAAAGAACAGCGTTACGAAACATACCATTAAAAATTAAAATAGATAAAATAAAATAAGATTGAAATTAATTCAATTATAAAAATGAAATAGGTGACCCATAACAAAAATTGAGGGAGTGCCCCTAACATTTCCACTGGGTCCAATCACTTCAAAAAAAAAAAAAAAAATTATTAAACAAAAACAAGAGCTTAAGAACAAGAGGAAGAAATTTTCATGTAGGGAACATCTCAGAGATAAAGACTGCCATTTGTAACTTTGCTTCCGAACTTTGCTTCGTTTTCTTCTCTTAATTTCTCCTCTCGTCGTCGTCTTCTTCTTCTTCCCTCAAACGACGAGAAGATTAAAGAAGAAAAAAAAAGTTGCAGAAAAATTTTGTTTGCAATTATTATATTCTTCCTGTAATCCGAACTCTTTCTTTCTTGTGTTGGATCGGATCTGAAAGTACTTCGGGAACTCGGGAAAAAAGGGAGAAGAAGCTCTTAAAGTTGCTTCCCTTTTCTCTCTGAGGTTGCATTTTTGGTGGGTCTCCCTCGCTCTTCCCTTTTTTTTTCCCCTCTTTTTACTGCCGCCTGTCTTGAAAGATTTGCTTCAACTGCATTGTAGTTTTGAGGTTCGTGGATTTCTTGTTCGGCGTTTTTCGCTTTCTTACTGTTACTCTCTGGCTTTTTAAAGATTTGGGGACTGTGTGCTGAGTTTTTGTGCTTGATTTTGATTTCACTTACAAAGAATCGAAATCAGTAGTCGGAGCCAGTGGAAATTTGGGTTTTCGTATTCTAAATCTCTTGAAAAACTCGAGAGCTCAGTGTTGGAGATTTTGTTGAAGTTAGGCGTCTTTTTGTTTTTTTTTTTTAGTGTTTTCAAGCAATCGGAAGTAAACGTAGAAATTATTAGACGACGGATTAAAGAATCTGTTTCTGTTGTGTGATTACAAAGATATTTAGAATTTACTTCACATGATTTTTCCATTTGTAGGTTTTGATATTGCTTTGATTGTGAATCAAGGTTCACTGCTTGAGTTTCGGGTCAGCCACCAACAGGTACTTGTTATTTTCTTCATAATCTTGGGGGATTTTCTTTGATTGCTTAGATTGCTGGAGAATGGTATCTTCAATTTCTCTCATAGTTATCTGAATCAATTTTAGTTTTCAACTTCCAGGACAGATTTATATTCATTTGCGTTTGCAAGAAGGCATTAATAAGCGGAAGATTTTTCTAATAAATGACTGTAGCAATTACCATAATGGTTGTAAGCAATTGCTGCATCCCTTTCACCGCACCCTAAGATCTGGCCTGAGAGTGCTTGAGCCAAGGTGCTGCTGATGGAATCACTTGTTGATGGTATGAGTTCTTTGTTGAAAACTCAGAACCTGACGTCTACATCGAGGATTCCCGATTTGTCTCGCCACCCTTCTCCTAAACAATCTAGGGATGAAGCAACTTCTTCGACATCCTACAGTGCTGCTTCTCAAAGTTGTGCCAAGAAACCCGTTCGTCATCCAAATGGTTCTTCTGTAGGTAATAAAAAGCATTCTTACAATTTGAACCATGATGTGCAGCTTGAAGGTTTAACTGATGTGAAAAAACATACATACATTTCCAATAAGGGGAAATCCGAGCTTTTAAACCCGACGGATATTGTATATAAATCAACTGAAAGTTCTTTTCAGAAGAAGGTTCCTTTCGAGGGAGGTGGAGAAAAACCTCTCGTGAAGCATATTGTTGATGATTCTAAGGATTGTTGTTCGAGTGGCTCGGTAGAATCTGGGAATCAAGTATTGAACACATCGAAAGGAGCTGCCACACAAATAAATGATAAACAAAAGTCTCAGCCAGCTGAAACATCTTGTCCAAGTCCTCAGAACAGCTTATATTCCACGACTTTATATGCAGAGGCCAAACAAAGTTTCTCGAACACGGAAGTCAGTGAATGTGCAAGCAGCATCGAAAAGTCTTGCGAAAGTGTCGACATCTCAAATTCCTATGATCTTGATAAGAGCAGGAAAACGAGTGTTTACCGAGGTAGCACGGGCAGTGATATCAGTGATGAGAGCAACTCTAGTAGTTTAAGCAATACCATGTACAAGCCCCATAAGGCAAATGATACAAGATGGGAAGCAATGCAAGTTGTGAGATCTCACGATGGGATGTTAGGTCTGAATCATTTCAGGTTGCTGCGGAGACTCGGATGTGGCGATATTGGTAGTGTCTATCTCTCAGAGTTAACTGGTACCAAAACTTACTTTGCTATGAAGGTTATGGATAAGGCTGCTTTGGCTAGTAGGAAGAAGCTTCTGAGGGCTCAGACCGAGCGCGAGATATTGCAATCCCTGGATCATCCATTCCTGCCAACTTTGTATACACACTTCGAGACAGAAAAGTTCTCTTGTTTGGTTATGGAGTTTTGCCCCGGGGGCGACTTGCATGCGCTTAGGCAAAGACAACCCGGAAAATACTTTCCAGAGCATGCTGCAAGGTCTGGAATTGCTTTCTTACTCTTTAGCTCTATCTTGCTTTTCACTCTAATAACTGAACAGGATCCTTTCCAAAGTATAACATAGAGCTACAACATGAAATCTTGATAGGATCAAAGAATATATAAACGCTTGTATTTTCCCATGAAACTATTTTCTCTTATAGCTAGCAATTTGCACATTAATGTGGCTTTTGCGGACAGCCCCTTTTCATTAGAAAGGAAAATAATTATGGTTCACTTTCATTTTCACTTCATATTTACTTTTTAACTTTTTTCAGATTCTATGTGGCTGAAGTTCTCCTTGCTTTGGAGTATCTGCACATGCTTGGGATAATCTACAGGGACCTAAAACCTGAAAATGTGTTAGTGAGAGATGATGGGCACATAATGCTATCTGATTTTGACCTCTCTCTTCGATGCGCCGTCTCCCCGACTCTTGTCAAATCATCGAACTCGGGTTTAGAAGCTAAAAGCTCAGGGTACTGTGTTCAGCCTGCTTGCATTGAGCCAACTTGCATAATGCAGCCAGATTGTATCCAGCCAGCATGTTTTACGCCCCGCTTCTTAAGTAGGCACAGGAAAGAAAAAAAGTCCAAACCAAAGAGTGAAGTATATCATCAAGTGAGCCCTCTACCGGAGCTCATTGCCGAACCCACAAGCGCGAGATCGATGTCCTTTGTTGGTACACACGAGTACCTGGCACCTGAAATCATAAAAGGTGAAGGCCATGGCAGTGCCGTGGACTGGTGGACTTTCGGGATCTTTCTCTACGAGCTTTTGTTTGGTAGAACTCCATTCAAGGGGGCTGGAAACCGTGCTACTTTGTTTAACGTGGTTGGTCAGCCATTGAGATTTCCAGAGTCTCCTTCTGTGAGCTTTGCAGCAAGGGACTTAATCAGAGGTTTGCTTGTGAAAGAACCACAGCATCGTCTCGCTTACAGGCGTGGAGCTACCGAAATCAAGCAACATCCATTCTTCCAGAGCGTGAACTGGGCGCTTATCCGCTGCGCCAACCCCCCGGAGGTGCCAAGAGTAGATGTCATTGACTTCTCTTCAAGAATGGAGACACCACATGCACCGGCAGGCGAAAAGATGCCCGGAGTTGATGTGAAGCCTTCAGGTAATTATTTAGAGATTGACTTCTTTTGAATCTTATTGTCGTTTTTCGTTTTTCGGGTTTTCGACCAATCTCCCTTCTCCTCATTTGTATTGTGCTTCAACTGAATGCTTCCTTTTCCATTGCAATGAGATATGGGGAGGTTGCAGAAGTCCTCCTCTTGTGGTTTCATTTTTTAACTCACTTTGTAACTCTCTACTGTGCTGTCTGCTGCTGCATAATAAAACGTCTTGAGAGATGAAAATAAATATATATATATATATATATATATATATATATATATATAACTGGGGAATGGAATTGTTGGATTTCCTAAACTGACATAATTCTTTGAAACCGGGTTCGGGTTGGTTCAGTTCAGTTTTATCCTCCCCTTAACCTCGGGTTTCCTCTTTTGCCCGAAAACCTACTCGACCCGACCCAGTTACACCCCTAATTCGTTCATTATGACTTTGATTTATATTCAGACAGTCTGTTCAGGAAAAGATTATGCTACTTTCTCGTTGACAGCCAGGAGACAGTCTGTTTGGGAAAAAGTTCCATTCCTTTAGAGAAAGAAAGAGAGAAAAAGAATTGATAAAAAGATTGAATTCAAGTTAAATTATAAGTTTAGTCCCGAGATCTTGAGAGTTGTATCTATTCTGTCCTACTTTAAATCATTCTCTTTGGTCCTTATACTTTACCATATACTTTACAATTTTTAATAAGTCTATGAAATTTCAATTTTAATGATCAATAAGTCTATGTTGTGTTGTTAATGCCTTTTGTGTTTACAATTGCGTCACCAAACTTTGCCTTATAATTTGTAAATATTATTGTTATTATGTCATTTATTGTAGGTGTTAAATTGTGGATTTAATCATAGAGATTTATTATTCACAAAATTGAATGTACCGAGATTAAATTGACAGAACTTTGAAATGTCAAGAACTTATTGTAAACTTTTAAATTATAACTTTGAAATTTCAAGAACTTATYGTAAATTTTTAAATTATAGGGACTAAATAGATGAAACACTCAAAATTAGAGATTAAAGTTGTTATTGAACCTTGAATTTAATGACAATTTTGTTTTTAGTTCCATTTCTTTTGTGGAATAAACTAGGTTAAATTTAAGTTAAATTACGAGTTTAGTTCAGTATTTCAAAAATATTTTAATGGATTTTTAGACTTTGTTATTTATCTCGTTTCTATGCTTTAAAATATTTATAATAGGTTAATGAATTTTTAATTTTGTCTCGAATAGGTCTCTAATGTTAATGTTGCTTATTTACAATTGTACCACTGGACATTTTAACCTATTTGAAATCAATTCATCGTCTAATATTTAAATAATACCGCACCATGCTATGTAAGGATTTATTAAAAGTTTAAGTATCGGGGATCAAATAAACACGACTTTGAAATGAATCTATTACAATATTTCTTTAAGTACAGGGACTAAATAGATACACACTCAAAATTTAGGGAAAAATTTATAAATTAAAACACTTATTTTGTTTTTAATTTTCTATGCTGGAAAAAGTTTGATTTTACAAAATACGACATTGTTTTCTTATATTTTTATAAAAACTATTTAATTTTTAACGTTGGTACTACTTGCACTATGTTGGTTAGCCTGATATGTCCATTAAATAATTTTTAACTAAGTTGGAATGACATGATAAGTAACTAAATATAAATAGATTAATGGACTCATAACGTCATATTTTGTTAATAGTATTTATGATATGGGTAAAATGCAAGTATAGTTTAAATACAAAATCTACCCTCAAAAAAATTTTAAAGTTCAAAACTAAATAGACACCATGCTTGAAGAAATAGTTTAAATCTATAATTCCTATTCGACCTTCATTGAAGTTTTAGATGTTAATTTTTATTGAAATATGGTGGATGTGCTGTAATATGTTACTTTGACATGCCTGAGATTACGTTCTGTATATGTCAATTCATGTACTCTTCAACTCATTTGCATTGACAACTTGTCAAGTGCTATGCTTTGATATTTGAAAGGTAGATATGATCATGGTTTATTCTTGGCCAAACCACCAAATCCTTCTTTACAGCTATGCTTATACAGGCTACACTTTTGACCATGATGATTGAAAATCTACTCTAAATTTTGCCCCTTTTTTCAGGGATAATTCCACTATTTAGGACTCTAAGAAGCATATTATAATTTCAAGTTCTAGCATCAAAGCAGACTTTCGTCCATTTGGCACTAGTTATCACTTAGTTGTATGACTATATTCTTTGTTTAAGGAACTTCATATTCCTTTGCAGTGGCTCCCTACTGTTTTGGTATGACAATCTTAGTGGAGTCCACTTTAGTGTTAATTATATACTTCACTCGTAGACTAAACATGTCGAGATTGACATCTATTTTCACTCACCGACCACCGCTCAGATAGCAGATATTCTGACCAAGACTCTCTTTGGTGTTAATTTTTGTTTGCTCAAAGCCATGCTCAAGGTATGCTCTCCTTCATCTCTTGGCTGGATGCAGTGAGTTGTACACTGGGATTCAATTTTTTTTCTACCCTAAAAAATGGCCACACATGCCAAAAAAAGAAAAAAAAAGAAACAAATTCAACTATAAAAGGGAACAAGTAACAAAACACTAAACTAGGTATAAAAACCGATTCATACACCTAAACATATAGTTGTGGAAATAAGTTGTTTTAGTGTCCGTGAATTGATCAATACTGCAGTAGGATTTCATATTGCAACATCACGTAGTGTGATTAAATGAAAAACACCGTAACACATTTGATTCTAGTTGAATTTGTTTATTTATATTTGACTTGTAAATTGTGTAATCAGTATCATGTTGTTCATAATGCGGTCGTGTTACTAGATGGTCATCGCGTAACGTAAATCCTATCGTGATATATATTATGTGAAGAACGCATCTTGATGTAATACGATCAAATAGGAGAACATAACCATTTGATCGTGTTAGTGGRGATCGGACTCACACCTCTTAGTTGTAGATGCAATTACTGTTGAGCTATGCTCACTTTAACATATAATGTTATTTAAATTATAATTAAATTTGAACTAGATATAATTTAAGTTATATTATTTGAATTAAATTTATAGTTGAAATTATGATTCAAGATTATATAAATATAAATACGTTGTTAGTTTGTACGTACAGCAATTCAATTTCTCTCCACCCCTGAAATTATCGTATTAGAGGGGTCCAAACTTCAAGCAAACCATGGACTAAAAGAAAAAAAAGAGTATTTTTCCTATTTTCATTATTTCATTTTTCCCCCCAAAAGGCGCGCATTTATTTTCCCGATCTCAGGCGAGCTTCGCGACCGGAGACACGGCGGCGCCGCCCAGAAAGCTCAGCTATGCGATTTTGGCGTCCAAATCGTTCCCTCTCATTCGTCGGTAAAAAGCTGCGTGAACCACTCTTACTCTTTCGCTTTCCGAATCTCTCATCTTCGCAGCGAATTTCGTCGCCAATTTTGTTCAGTTCATCCGAATCTCACCATTTCTCCACACTGTTAACTGCCGAAGACGAGAAGTATGGCTTCCGTCGGCCGGAGATGTATCGGAGCAACCTTGCTGGAACAGTTGCTGCTTACGAGCGCCATGTGTTCCTCTGTTACCGAAGTCCTGAGGTCTGGCCCTCCCGCGTTGAAGACTCGAACGCTGATCTGCTACCTAATCTCCTTTCCGCGACCATTAAAGCTCGTAAAAATCGTACTGCTATCAAGGTTCGTAAAGTCATCTTTGATGATTGAATTTGAACGGTGGTGTCTTTGTTTTTGAGCTGGCTTTTGTTATTAATGTCGTTCAAAATTTTGTTCATAGTTTACAGAACTTGATTACTTGAGTACTCTGCCATCACTTTTATGGTCCTCTCTTTCGTTGTTGCTTGTTAGACGAAGCTGACGATATGCGAGGCAGGGGAGGGAACTGAGTATTCAGATGGAGATGTATTGATTTTTCCGGAAATGGTCAAATACAGGTGGGAGAATTGGTTATTTTCATTATAGATTGCCTAATTTTCTCATAAACTAAAAGGTAATGTTCGTTAACATATTGCTATTACGATATAAATTAAATCATGCTTTAGTCCAAAAGGAAAACGAGCTGTAATCCTTGAAGATTATAATACTGATTCCAATTATCTGGCAATTGTTGAGGGCCATTAACGATTAATGACACTGTTCTGATATGTTTTTTGCCTCGTGTACTGCTTCTCGGGTTCTTGTTAAGAACTTTCGATCATGGGTTCGTTTCTACTAAAGTATTCATAAATGCTTAAATTTATCATAACTCATCAGCTCAAGCATTTAAGTTTGAGTGGTAATTTAACAATAAGGTTTATTTTGTCCAGTCCAATATATTATCATTATCACTTTTACGTCTTAGAATTTTCCTGTTGAAACGACCTTTTAGATAGTAGCGGATCCCTTGTCAGATTAGGGGTTTTGTCTTGCTTCAAAGGTTGTTGGTGCAATCTCTCTGGCTGGATTCTTCATTTGGTCAGGGCTTTAGCTTAAGTGGCTCCTTGGTCTTTGCATTTCTACTTGTCGGATTTTATTTGTTTGCTTCTCCCATGGGCATTTTGTTCTTGTAATCTGGGAAACTTTTCACTCCTTTTGGGAGTTTGAATCCTTAAACTTTTTTTTTCTTTCTTTTCATACATCAATGAAAAGTTTGTTTCTGGTTAAAGAAAATTATTCCGTCAAAAGATTGAGCAATGAATGACCCCATCTCCCCCTCACACTCACCCATAACACAGGGGTTTGAAAGATAAAGATGTGGAGAGCTTTGTTGAGGAGGTGCTTTTGAATGGTAAACTGCGAGCCTCTGGAGTAGATGATGTTTTGGCTGGCTCTTATATTTTTGTATGTGCACATCGTAGTCGAGATCAGAGATGTGGCGTCTGTGGATCAGTTCTCGTTTCAAAACTCAAAGAGGAGATTGAACTGAGAGGACTGAAGGGTCAGATTTTTGTTAATCCATGTTCACATATTGGTGGACACAAGTACGCTGGGAACTTGATTATATATTGTCCAGATCCAGATGGGAGAATCGTGGGCCACTGGTAAGACGAGTTTTAAATGGAGACATTGTTTATTTCACAACCTTTTAGAGATATTTTCTATTGCTTAATTAGTCCATTATATATATTGATTTTAGGTATGGCTATGTTACTCCCGATGATGTGCCTGAATTGCTTGACAAACATATTGGAAAAGGAGAGATTATAGGAAGGCTTTGGAGGTCAGTGTTTTTCTTGCTTGTCAGGTTTTTTTTTCCTGATATCTCATTGGGAGTCCTGTTGACCCACGTAACTACTGTATATTAGTAGCTGCTGCTAGCAACTTATCTTCTTGTTAGTCTTATACACCTGATTTTAAGTACTTGCCTCTCCAGTATCAGTCAGACCATGCTGTTTATAGTCTGATTTCATATTTTAATGTTCATAGTCTTTAGTAAGATATGGATAAAATAAAAACCATTTTCTAAGTGATGAATGAAAAATCATCTTTATGAGCTCAAACTAGATAAGAATGTCTCCAATCTTGAATAATCATAGAGAGGTTGTAATTACAAAAAAAAATTGTATGTTTGTGGCACCACCGAGAAGAGGTGAGCTGTACGCTATGACAAAGAGAGTCACAAGAGGGTCTATCTTCAAAAGATCTATGAAAAGCCAAGTAGTCCAAAGGAGAGCTCCAGCCCCAAAATTCCAACAAACCTTTTGCCTTACCATTCAGCTGCCAACCTTGCAAAACTTCAAACAACCAATCATTGATGAGTCGCGGCTTACACCCAGGTAAACCAAAAAAATTTAAACAAAAACTGCCAACACTTTGCTGCATACTGACAGTGGATAAAAACGTGGTCTAGCGTTTCTGCCTTCCTAGTACAAACCAGGCAAATGACGGGGAAATGGTCCAGTTGGGGCACTTCCTTCGCAACATGTTAATAGAATTAAAAAGAAGCTTTCATGCGCTCTAACTTTTTGGGGATCGCTCGGGATAGTTAATGCTTCGGGGTGGACATAGACTCTTAAAATCCAGTATGCATAAAAGATCTAAAAAGATCTAATTATATGGCAGTAGAGCATTTCTTTTCTCGTTGGCCAATAAATTGAGAAATGATTGATATTGTCAATTGCAGGGGTCGAATGGGGAGGACCTATGATGAGGAAGGTAAAAAAGCAGTCGAAGATAAACTCCCTAGTGCCGAAGTCTGCAAGGGAACGGGAAACAAGCCTTGGGAGAATGACAACCGGGGAAACAATTAGAAAATAAGCTGCAAGGAAATGGGCAGGGCACACACTCCTGCTGGATCACAACTTTTGATCAGAGTGGTATTCTTGCTTCTCCTGTAGTTGTTGGAGCTCTGCCAACATTTCTGTGGCCTACAACTCCTAGCAGAGGTCTAGCTAAAATAGTCTTAGATTATGTTTATATTTGCTTGTGCTGAGTCTTTTCTTTAGGGGACGGGGGATTTGAACTTCGAACCTTTTAGGAGGTGGGTAATAATTTGACCAATGAAGCTATGCTCCTGATGTTCGGTAAGAATGCTTATTGGTAATTGTAATATTTTTCTTTAACGAGGATTAGGAGATTATGAATTGCCAAAACATAGCAAATAAATGGAATTCTTTTTTTTCTGCTCCTTTAGTCGTGGTTTTAACATTCTTAAAGTTAAGCACAAATCTTGTGTGAACTGATAGATTATACTAAAGTAAATGCATTATAATCAAATCACAGGTTAAAGGTGTTGCCTTGACTTGCATGACACCCTCAGCATAATATTAACTATAAAATTTCCTCAATGCCATGTAATAATATTTTGAATTAGAGTTATAATCTTCAACTTTATCCCTCATATTAACATTCAAATTTCCTAGCAACCTATAAATCTGGTCAGATTCTGGGTGTAATCTGTCATCAGCTACAAAACTATGTACCTCGCTTCCTACTTCAATCACACTTTTCCCAAGCATCTTCTTCAAACCCTTTTCCTTTATCACATGTCTTAGTTTTCCCACATTGTCCCAATTCTTCTCCACAGCATAGATGTTAGATAGCAGTATATAGTACCCAGCATGATTAGGATCTAACTGGAAGAGATTCTTTGCTGCAACCTCTCCCAACTCAGATTTGTGATGAATACAAGCAGCACCTAACAGGGCGCCCCAGACATGCGGCCCTGCAGGAATCGGCATTTTCTGAACAAAGTCTAGCGCCCTGTCGAGTTCTCCTGTTCGGCCAAGAAGGTCGACAATGATGCCATAATGTTCTGTGTTGGGCTTTATTCTGTATTCATGCAACATATAGTTGAATATCTTGATCCCTTCTTCAATCAGACCAGCATGGCTACAAGCAGATAACAATGAAATAAATGTTACTTCATTGGGCATAATTCGTGATGTCTCTGTCATTTTGTGAAACAGTTTCAAAGCTTGTCTTCCTTGTCCCTGGATTCCATAACCTGCAATGATGGCACTCCAGGTAACAATGTCCTTTACTTTCATTTCTTCAAATACTTTCATGGCATTAACTATGCTGCCACATTTTGAATACAGCTCAATAAGCGAAGCTCCTACAAAAATGTTGTTGGTGAAGCCACTTTTAACAACATAGTCATGAAGGCAAAGCGCTTGTTGGAGAATCCCCAAATCTGAACAAGAAGCAAGAATCTTCACCATGGCAACAGCATCAGGTTTTATTCTGTTCAACAACATGGTATTGAAAATTCCCATTGACTTGGATGACATTCCATTTTGGGAATAACCACTTAACAAAGCTGCCCAAGAAACCACATCTTTCTTGGGCATTTTTTCAAACACGTCAAGGGCGTCTTCAGGTGAAAAGCACTTCATGTACATATCAATCAGAGCTGTGGAAACTGAAACATCCATCTCCAAACCTTTGCTGGTAACTAGTTTATGGATCGTCTTTCCCTCTTCCAAGTTACATGCAACCCCACATGCCTGTAATGCACCAATCACTGTAACTGAATTGAATTCGATTTTCCTATCAATCATTTCATTGAACAGATTTAGAGCTTCAGCTGCAGCGCCGTTGAGAGAATAACAAGCAATTAAGGAGCTCCATGATATTACATCTTTTGCCGGCATTTTCTCGAACAAGTTGGCCGCACTTTTTACAGAACCCGTCTTCGCATATAGATTCAGCAACGAGTTGGCCAAAGATAAGTCATAGTCGAGATTTCGTCTGGTTATAAAGCCATGAATGCTACTTCCGAGCTTTGAATTTGACAGTTGAGTACAGGCCGACACTAAGCTGACAAGCGTGACACGGTCGGGATTTACATGCTTGATCACCACCATTTGAGAGAAAAATTCAACAGCTTTTTCGGGATTTCCATTCTGCTCATACCCAGTTATCATCGAAGTCCAAAGAACCACATCCGGTTGAGAAAATCCCAGGAAAACTTGAAGTGCTTCGTCCATTTTTCCACATTTCGAGTACAGTTCGATCAACGCAGCCCCCACAAACATGTCGAGGTCAGTTTTCTCATTTCTCTTAACAAACCCATGAATAGTTTTTCCAAGTTTGAGTGCCTGCAGCCCTGCGCAGGCCTTCAAAACTACAGGAACGGTGAAATTATCAGGTTTTCCCTCTGTAACTCCATGGGAGGAAGAGGATACCATGTCATGAAAGAGATGTAAACTCCGTTCCCACTGATTCTCTCTGCAGTAGCTTCTGAGAAGAGCATTCCATAGGTGTACGGTCTTGTGCGGCGTTTCGTCGAACACCTTGCGTGCGTGCACGAGAGAGGCGTATTTGGCATACAAAGCACTGAGTTTGGTGGCGAAGAAACTGTCGTGGGCAAGCCCAACTTTGAGCGTATGGCACTGCAATTGCGCCAGAATTTTGCCATTGTTACATTTCTCAAATAGCTTCACTAACTCCTCTCTGTTTCTCATGTATATGACTCACGAAAGTAGTTTGATCGCCGAGGAAATTGCTGGCAATTATTTGATCGGCGTTACAAGGAAGGTCGCCATTGCCAATAAGGTACCACCTTCTGTCTTCATTTTGTTATTACATGTTTTTCTTATAATTGGGAGTTTATCCCAGCGGCACCCATGCCCACCTAAGGCCCGGACCTAAGAGCTATCAAAGATTTTTTAATATCAAGCTCACCCGAACTTGAAACCTCTAACTCAGTATGACTAAGAGATTCCATGTCCTTGCCAATTGGCTGCCCTTTGTGGGCTTCTTACATGTCATATTAGCAAATAGCATTTCATGACATCGACATTCATTGAGAGAGAAATAGATTCCCATCATAGAAACGATAGTTACTATTTTGCTCATTTGATTAATATCCGCAACAAAGTTATTCCCATAGCTACTTCAATAATACTTCTTCCATACCATCATGAAAGAAGATTCAGGTAAAATATGCACTCGAGGATGAAAAAAGATTGACCCACTTTTATTTGTATTTGGTACTTCGGCTTAAGTTTTGACTCTTTGATATTCAATAATATCTTCTTTTTTAGAATTGAATGCACCCTATAGTCTTATATTTAGACACGCCTAAACTATTTATGAATTGGGATCATCGAAATAAGCCAGGAGATTATTTCTATAGAGTCCTTCAGGGAACTCACTTGTCTGCATCCTTGCATTTGAAACGGGGTGCTTAATTAGAAGTTGTGATATGAGTCCGTAGTCACGCATCAACTAGAAGCAGAGAAGATGCGAGTATTGTAAATATCTCCTTTGATACGAAGCCTTTGGGATGCAACTAAAAGTAAATCTCAATAAACTTAGGTCTAAAGTGGACAATCTCATATTATTGTGAAAATATAAAGAGGTCTATTGTCCTAACAAATGTCACTCTACTTATATAGATATAAAATTTATATAAAATTTTGGCAACTGATGAAGTGTCAAGGGTGAGATTTTCAATCTATTTGAAATGACAACTTTGACCATTTCCTAAAATCTCATGGGGTCGAGTTTTCTCGAGGCAAGACCTGATTGAACTCGACTCTTATCTTAATGTTGTCTACGAAGTAGTCAGTGAGGCATTCATTTTCTTATACCTAGGTTATAGGGTAGCATGTAACTGAGCAACCATGTTTTGTTCTTTCATTGCTTCCTATCAACCAATTTGATGAGAAAGGAATCTTTGATTCCATTTCAACTAGCTTCCTTGTGACCTAACCATAGGAGCTATATTCTTCTCTATGTCTATCTATTTTCTACTTTGATTATAAGCCTTTTAACCCGTAGAAAATACTTAATAACAATTCATTTTGATGTTTGATTCTACACTTTTAAGAGCTTTTGTAACAAGCAATTACAAATCACTTACAGACGTAATGATTTTGAGCGGAAAGTATTTAAGTCATGGTAAAAGTACTTTTAGACAAGCCTTATAACTGATATCACTGAGTGAAATGATTAACGAAAGGTTAAGTCTCATTTATAACAATTTTATTTTTAATCTATAGTTCAAAAAATTTAAACCATCTGTGAATGATTTATTTGTTTAGTTTTTTTTTTAATTAGTATACTTTATGAGATCTTGACCAAGTTTCAAAACAACTTAAAAAAAAAAAACTCGTTTTGCTATCATACACTTTTTGAGCAAAAGGTGAAAATAAGGTTTGAGTTATTTTCCCAAGTAGAAATTGGGAAATGTTTTCGGATAAATATATTTTCTGTTTACTTAATTGGAACGAAAATGAATGCTCAAAGTGAATTGTTGTTTGGAATATAAATTAAATTTAAGTAGTTCTCAAAAACGAGTATATCCATGTCATGTCAAAACRGATCCTTTATTTATTTTTATGTGTATATCGTGGGTGGCCCTTATGGGTCCTTTTTTTTTATAAAGATTATCCTTGTCTTTGTTTTTGTCTCGGATTGGAACAAATTACCATAATTTGTCTCTGCCTACGGATTAGTCGACATTTTTCACAAATTTTCCRAATGGAGGCCCTTATTTTCATATTTGTTCAGAAAAAAAAGGAATTAAATTTAAGTAGTTGTGGGCCATAATAAAAGGAGAGAAAAAAAGGAAAATGATAAGGAAAGTTGTGAGACTAATTAATGTAACATGTTAAAGACCACGATTTAAAGTCTTTTTTAAATATGTTATTATCTATTTCTATCGTCTTAAAATCTCTCTCATTTTGATTGGTCGTTGATTCAAGTTGAAAAAAATACATTGAGTAATAGATTACAATATAATTGACTACAAGTAAAGATGGTGTATATATTAGGAAAAAAAAACTAAAAATAAACTAGAAAAGAAATACAATGTCAGTATATGATTTGATAGTAGTTGATGAACAAATCGAGACACCGTGTTTATTCATGTGTACCTTTACCTAGAAGCCTACTTGAGAGCCAATGCTGGTTTGTGTCTTCTATTTCTACTCTCTTTTACTTCAAGTGTCTTTTTTCAATTAATTTTTGTAAAAGAATAGAAATGGAAATGAGGAAAAATGATTAAATGGGATGTGGTCTTATTTCTCAAAAGCAAACAAAATCAAAACTACTATGTCTAGGACTACACCCAAATTTGGGTCACATTTTGACCTAGACCTAGACATGGACTAAATCTTACCAAACCCTACCCCTGAGCACAGAGAGAAATGAAAAAGATGAAAAGAAAAAGAACATAAAATGATTCACCTCTAGATTTAAGAGAGCAGTAGACAAATGGGAGTGTTAAAATATTAAGAAGATGAGGATCACGTATTCATAAACGTGTTACCGCTTCAAGTCATGATCTTCAATTAGGTACGAATGCATCGTAAGATCATTTCACCAATGATAATGTAGATCTCCCTAGTGAATATGGTTTTAATTGAAGTCTTCGACACTAATTTCAAATTTGATTTAGCGCTACACACTTGGCAGCCAATTCTGTGTTGTCCTCTATTCTTGTTATTCGGTAAAGGTATTTATCGCTCAAACTGAGCATAGCGCACATCATTTTTTAGAAATCTCTACTCAATGATAGAATAAAGCAAAAAATTTTGGATTCGAGCTCCAAAAAAAGTCTACATAGCAAATTCCTTATTTTCTTTTCTATCTATACATGGATTAAGTTCTGTACAACGGTCTAAAAACGACCTACTGAAAAATAGATTGACGATAGTAAATGTGGATGCTTCGCTTTTGTGAGGAGTAGGTGACTAGAAACTTTTATGTCAACTTTACTGAGAAATTAGTTTTTTTTTTTTTTTTTTTTTAAGTACAATTTGGATGATTTGTTGAGAGTTGGGGAGATGTAAGGGAAATTGTCAAATCACTAATTCACCGACATCTCATTTTCACACACCAAAAAAATACTATTATCTTTGACAAATATAAATAAATAAAGACTTCTTTTTTTCTTTTTCAATTCTACTCTTCATGGCAGCTTTATAGAAACACAATCTTTTAAAACTCTACAAATTCAACTTTTTCATGGCCCCATTTTGCCCCTTTTTCCAAACCAACTATTATTGGATTTTAGAAAGCGCTGTGGAATAATCCTTTTAACTTTTTAGATTCAATTATTTGTGTGGCAAGAGAATTTTGATAAAAATGATTGTTCTTTTGAAACCGATTTCGGAACAACCAGGGTGTTAAATCGTATGAATGTTGGTTGCTAACGCAACACCCAACTCGATCGAACATGCATTCGTTAGAGCGGATTTGAATTGAGGACTTGCTTAGAATTTTGTAAAGAACTAAGAGAGAAACTAATAGAAATGTGCGGAAAACCTTTTGTAATTCTACATATGTAGTCTTCCAAACCAGCAAACCGTATATATGAGTGAGAAGCAAACCACGTCATAAAATAAATTAAACGTTATTAATACATACAGTTACTTTATAAGCGTTACAACAATTATAAATTAATGTCACGAAAATAATACGTTTAATTATATAAAACGGTTATTAAATCACTACGTTTAATAAAAAAATCTTTAAAATAACCAATTTGCTTGGCAAAACATATTTTTGCTTTGTCGTTTCCAACAATTTCATCTAGAATGATGATGGAAGTTTTTATTTTTTTTATTTTTTTGCGGTGGAATTACTATTTATTTTCACCAAAGATGTTTTATTGCATTCTCAAAGAGATATTTTGTTAGCGTTTTGGGAAAGGGAAATGAAGCGTTAAAGAAAAACGCGACCCTCAATTTGGTGCTTAATCTTTCAAAATTCTCTATTTTACCTTTGATGTATTGAAATTCTCAATTAAGTCATACTACAGAAATAATTATAGTTTGATAGCAAAATATTTATGTATTATTAAATTGTTGTTTTATCAACATATTAGAACACGTGGCCACGCCACCTAGATGTCTTTGACACATAAAACCCAAATCGTGCCTATCAACAAAACTCAACCATCCATCCAATAATTTCTTCAAATTGACATGTTATATCCTATCCAAAAATATTAATAATACAATAATTTAATGACACGTCAATTTTATATTAACAATTCTTTTGCAAAACAATTAACTGAATCACCTTAACAATTGGGGACAATTTAATATTATTGTTTGACCTTTAGAAGAATTAATTCCTAATCTCCCTCAATAAGATTTCTCTAAATTTCACCATTGAAACTTATCTCTTCTGTTCCTCCAATTTGATTGGCTGCATTTTACTTTCCCTATCAACTCTTTGAAGTTTGAAGAAATTAGAATTTTTCAAATCTCTTTCATTTGAGATTCTTTCTTTGATCTTTTCAAATACAGACCATAGAGAAAAGTCAAAATTTTCCATTCACAAAGGCATGTGAGAAGATGAAAATTCTTAGAGAGAGAAATAGGAGGTTGTTAAATATTGGATTGTTGAAAAACATAAGCATTTGATAACTTATTTTTTTTTTCCGATACTTTTAAAATTGTACAGAAATTTTAGTTTACAACATGATAAGTTTTTTTTTAAGCTTTCAATTTTTTTCAAAACATAAATAAAAGTATTATTTTATCGTTATTGACTCATATAATAAATATTAAAAATAAATTTTATATAAAAATCTTATTTTTTTTTAATTTGAAATTTTAGAGGAGGGAAACAAACCATTCCTTTTTTATTTATTATAAAAGAGAAAATAAGAAACAAAAATAAAAATAAAATAAGAAACAAGAAATTTATCTATTTAATCTTTATATTCTAAAAATATTTTAATAGACTCTTAAACTTTCAATTTTGTGTCTTATAGAATCTTACTATAAAATATGTGAGTTAAATTTAGCTAATACCTGAACTTATTGAGACCGACTATCAACATATCATATAAACATTAAATTAACAAAGTTCATTCTAAAAATAAAAAATAAAAATAAATTTTTTTTTGGACAATTTTAATGATAGAAATATATTGGATGCGAAATAAAAAATTTTAGAGCTCATTAAAAATTTTATAAAGTGCATGAATAATATATATGATTTT